GTCGATCTGACCTGACCTGATCTACCCCAAATGCATGGAGTCATCATCTTCGTTCAAAACTAAGATAACATTCGTAATCAGAACCTCGAAAAAAAACCATCACAACTTACATTCGCAAAGTTCTAGCAGGTCCCGAGTTTCCCTACTTATTGGCGATGACCTGAGTCCTGAGATGACCCGAAACCTTGTAAATGGGTATCATCGGCTTTCTCTCGTCACGGGCAGCATGCTCTTTTTTTTCCGCAAACCTCTAGGTCTAGATCGATCAGGGGTCGAAAGCATACCTCAGCGTTACTTTAGTATACGTTATACGTTAGCGACTGGGAACCCACCAATAGAAGGGCTACAGTGAAGCAGAAAACATATTCGATAGCTCTTTCAACGCTCTTTCGCTAGCTTCGCGTCAGATTTCATCTCAGGTCTATGTTTGGCCCATAAGAAGGCAAACAGCTAACTGGACAGATTCTGCCGAATTATCTGCTTTGCAATAACTTTAGATTCCGTGAATTTGTATGGTATGTACATATGTTGTCTTTTCACCACCGTCTTGATCTCTTTGAGACGCGTCACATGAGTTAAAATTTGACCATCCAGAATTAACGATAAAACGACCTCAGGTCAACGTTATGTCCTGATCGAAAAAGGACCTCCTGCTGCATATGAATGGATCCGTGTTGTTGAGCTGAACAGTGAACACCTTCCAGGTGCTGTCATCGCTCTACCGCGTCTTCGTCAAAAGTTGTAGAAAAAATGCTGGTGGCCATCGATGAACATTTCCACTAATGGCCTTTCGAGTCATATATCGCCATAAGTTGCACCCTGTCCCTGGCAATGATGAGCTGATTTGTCATGGCTCCAAAGATATTTTGCGTTTCTGACGAACCAAAGCAGGAGGCATTCGTGCTTTTTCTAATTTCTCATTATTTTCTAAATGATAAGGTCACGTATTTGACCTGCCTCCAGATCATAGATGTAAATCCTCAGAATCATGAATTACTGACACGTATACATTAGGTATACAGTGTACCAAATTTCGAAGTTATGGGAGAAAAGCTACAAGAATGGCGAGAGGGGAAAGTTTGATAGAGGTACATATACCGTATAACTGAACTTGACATGGCGACCTGACCTTAAGTGACGCAGTGATAATTTTTACGCAAGTGATGTAGGTAGGTATACCTACCTAATAGGTTAAACCAAATTTCGCGGCGCTGCGCGCCGATTTGTTACACGCACACACACACACACATACGCACGCACAAAACTGGGAAGTGCGGCAAAAAAAAACACCCCTACCCATCGGGTGAAGACTAGAAACCCGACCCCCCCACTCAAAAATCCGTGGCGACGCCCCTGGCTGCCCGTGACGAGAGGAAGCCGATGATACCCATTTACAAGGTTTCGGGTCATCTCAGGACAGGTCATCGCCAATAAGTAGGGAAACTCGGGACCTGCTAGAACTTTGCGAATGTAATTTGTGATGGTTTTTCGAGGTTCTGATTACGAATGTTATCTTAGTTTTGAACGAAGATGATGACTCCATGCATTTGGGGTAGATCAGGTCAGGTCAGATTAACCAGTACCTAATAGTGGATGACCACCACCGATTGCTTCCTAACATGTTATACATATGTATAAGCAACACAACTACTTCTTAAATGTTCAGATGGGCGCTAAGTTCAAAATCAGCTCCAAAAACTATCCTATACCTACCTAAATTAAAACTTAAAAGCATGTTATGAAAAAGTGAACCAAGGTCATCTTTATTTGAATCAGGGATATCGATTTATTTTTAAGTAGGTGATTAACTCGAGCGCACCGGAAGTTTCGTTGCAATCGGCTCCTTTCTGCGCGACTTCTTTGCGAAAGCCCGAGACGGTCTCACCTGACTCCCTTTCCCCTACATGTGCACTGTACAGCTAGTTGTGACGGTAGCCATGGGGCTGAGGCTAGTTTGTAGTTTTGTAGTTAGGTACTGATCCGACGAATCGACTGCGACCATTTTTTTTTTTTAACGATCAGACGAACGCTCGGGGCAGTTTTGGCGTGTCCAATCCTTTGAGGGATAAAAAGGTACTAGAATGGTGGCTGCTTAAAAGTATTGTTGTGCTGGTGTTCCCCGCCCACAGCTAATTGAACTTTAGGTAATTGGCTAATTGGCTTTATGGAGCTCTTGAAGCGATTCTGAATCTAATGTATTTGTTGGTGTTGCTGACGCCTGCTTCACTGACATAAAAGCTAAAAAAGCATACTCAGCATCGCAAAAAGTGGGGGGGTCGACACCCCCAGTTTTCAAGAGTGGGGGGGTCACGACCCCCCCGACCCCCCCGTCGGCGACGCCCCTGCGTCCAGAGGTCATGCCGTGACCGGCGGTCGTCTTGGCGGCAGATGCTCTCGGACGGCCCGGAAAACGTTCGTTTGTTCCGGCGATGGGAAGTGGACCGGCGCCCTGCCGCCTCTCGACTCTGAGGCGCAGGATTGGAGTCGCGGGATAGTGCGCCAATAGCCCGGTAAAGTATGTCTTGTTTTTTATGCTGTCATTGGTTCTCTTATCGTTTTTTATCCCATATATGTAATATGCTTTGCTTACTGTATGCTAGACTAAAATATAAGACCGCTTGCAAAAGACGTCAAGTCTACAATACAGAGGCTAGACCTGCTGGACTTGCGCAGCTTTAATCCGTTGCCATTTTGGCCCTGGGACAAGTGTCACTGTCACCTGCTAAACGGCCACGGCAGCCTGTCAAGGAATGCAAACGCTTGCTTTTGTGTGGTCACCGATCCCGATCGTTTCATAACAGTCCATTTGAAGGCACTGTTGACTTTCCCTCCTGCTGGTGTGGGGAGGGGAATTTGGCCCCGAAAATGTTAAGGTGCGCAGTGGTCGGTCGAACACTGGGGCATGCTGGCATGCCATATTGCCATATATAGGAACACTGCGTCCCTGCCGAATCCGTCAGATCCCCCCCCCCCCCCACACACACACCTGGCCCCTCCTCCGGGCCACAGACCCGGGACTGCGTGAGAGACACTGCAGCTGCTGACAGACCAATTAAGGCCTCCCCTATCGGGTATAGGTATAAGCCGTTTACGACGGGTTTTCTGGTGAATGCGCCAAATTTGACCAAATCTGCACCAAATCTCTTTTATAACAAATGTCTTCACATCATGAATATAGGTGTTTCAGTATCTTAACCCGCGCACCGACGGGGGGGGGCGGATATCCGCCCCCCCCCCTGAGGTTTTTCGCGAATACGAAATTTGGTATGACTATAACCTCATCAATTTTACACATGGTGTGCAAGTTTGAACCTCCTACCTTTTAAGGTCAGGTCACCAGGTCACTTTGAATGACCCAACCTCAAGTCACTTTTTTTGCAACTTTGTCACCGTGCCAGAGCTACAGTAGATGTCGGAGGCCTTTGAAAGTCGCAGGATATTATTAGGTCATTAGTAGCTACAATTTGTATATCTCGGAATTTTGATATCGGTGACCTAAGGTCAGGTCAATTTCGCGACCTCCCCATTATAAGTCAATGGGGGAAAAATCAACTCCCTGTTTTTACCACTAAAACGGGTCGGAATGGCCCCATATACCATACATGACTTCATATACGATCAACCTTCACTACCTTGAGGTCTGTTTTGCTGTTGGGCAGCTGTGAGGTCATGTGACGTCATCAAAGGTCACCAAAGGTTTTTGGCCAATAACTCCGCACAGGAACAAGATACAGACGCGTGGATGGTCTCATTGTGTTCAGCTCGTCAAGACGCATCGAATGATATACATGATGACCTCGAGGTCACGTGACCTGAGGTCAACCTTTGACCTTGACCTTTCGAGGTCAACATATATATCATTCGATGCGGATTGACGAGAGGATCACGATGATACCCTTAGTTTGTTCCTATCTTGACTAATTCGAAAGTTATTCGAGAAAAACTCTCACCATATCTAGCGCCGCCATTTTGACTTTTTCGACCCCTGTGACGTCATCTTTGACCTGACCTGAAAATGACCTTAGTAAAAATTGTAGATCTTGGCCGTGCGTATCCGATGCCGTTTACCGCTTGTCGCTATCTTGCTTCGTTCTCGAGATCTCAGGGGGGCGGTCATCCGCCCCCCCCCCCCGTCGGTGCGAAGTTGGCGCAGACCCCCGTCGGTGCGCGGGTTAATCGAACATAATGTCTGACAATTTGAAAAAGTATGTATATAAGCAACTGTGGAGCAACTCAACCAGACATTTGTTGAAGAAACTAAAAGAACCTAATTTCACAGAGTCTACATCTGCACCAAATCCATTCCAAATGTGAACCAAATATGTACCAGATAGCCGTCGTAAAAACTGAAAATGGCTATTGTTTGACCTTCAGTGCTTTTGTAATTTTGAGTACGTACCTACTTTTTGCTGACATCCAAGTAAGCACCTATTCTAGCTTTCCGATTTTATTGAGCCATCTAAAATACGGCGAGGAAAGGAATTGGGGCGCAACAGCGCAGCAGCGCACTTATGAAGCTGGAATTTCGACACCCGACGGCCGACCGATAAGAGCAGCACACAACACTCCTGTGAAATTTATGGCAATCAATTTATCATCGGTCGCTATTTATGTAGTCTTGATCTATTTATTGCTCCCAGATGGGGCCACTTGGTCCGTATACTGGCGTCCAAGGGCGGATATTGGGAGTCTCTGCACGACCTCGATGGCGGCTCGGCGGCTCAGAGATGGCGCATTTCACCCCACCCCCTTCCCTCCCTCGAAAGCTGCCCCTCCCCGCCAGTCGTTCGCATCGCTGGGACGTGCGATATGTTGTTCTGAGGAGCGATTGCTATACCGTCGTAAGCTGGTTCGTAGTGGTGGTCTGCTCCCCTCGAGATTTGGAAACTACGGTGCGAACCGCGAGTTGTGTGAATCGTGGCTTTTTACATCATGTATGACTTCCAATCTTTTCAAGTAACTACATCGTGTAAATATTATTACACCGCTAAATCCAGAGATCGATCTTGTTCATCATTTATTACCTCACAACACATGTCAATGATAATTCAAATAATCATCCATCATAACACGACGCCATTAAAACGCCAGCAAAGAATCTGCCATTCTATGACTATGAACATTGTCATGGAGCGCATTACACATGTGTACGGTAACCAGCGGTCAGCGAGGCTACGACCGATCGAGACACCTGGAGTGGCGCAGAGGTGACGAGCTATGAGCGGCACAGTCGGCTATGGGAGCGGCACCTACCCGACCAAGGCGGGCCTTCAGGTAGTGTCACTGACGGTGTGTGAACAGGGACAGGTACTATTGCTATCCGTTCAGATAAACAGTCAGGGCATTCAGCAGCGCGGTCTGCACAGTCTCTGAATTCAAAGAACGTACGCAGTTGAAATAAGTCCCGAATCCGTTGAAGTTGTGACGGTCACAGCGTTAGAGCTGTTTTCGTTGTGAAACATTGTTTACATTTCCTGTGGTATCAAACCATCGAGTTTGATTATAATCGATCAACAACCAATAACGAACACTTCGCTTTCGCAGCAAATGCAAAAGCCAAAAGCATCAACGAAGTAAAACACTCGCCCAATCAATCTCTAATTTCCAAATGGCAAACATGCGGCTGCTGGTTTCTTTGAAATAACGCCCCGCGTCACCCGCATTAGCTGCCCACATAAACTAGCATCAGCCGCCCACATAAACAAACAACGCTGGGGCTTATAACCCCGACATCTCCCCGACCCTACCCCACCGTATAACTCATTTCTCACGGACACTCACGGCACCAGAGCGCACCCAGCAGCGGAACGCCGTGCCGCGCGCGGTGGTGCACCCAGCGCTGTCTTTGTAGCCGCCTTCCTCCTGAGATCACCGTGGCGCGTGTCGTGTGCAGTGTAGAGACAGAGGTCCCGGACCGCCTCCTGTGATCGCCCCTCGAGAGAGCGCTGCTCGGCGGGCGCAGCTCCCAGTGCAGCCCCAGCCGCTCGGCGCGGTCCGGGCCGGAGCTGACCGGAGCCGGAGAGAGGCTCAGCTGGGCTCGCGCCGGCCCGGAATAGAGCCTCCCGTGAGCGGTCCGACGGGCGCGCACTCGAGCCCCGCTGCACCGGAGACTGGGAAACCACCGGCTCGCGGTACAGGCAGTTCGCGTCTCTCCCCACGCGTCGCAGCCGGTAACGGAGCACTGTCACAGTTCACACCCGACAGTTGAGAGTTGACCAGTTGAGTTGACCAGTTGGCCAGTTGGCCAGTTGAGACCCCGGTCAACTCTGTCCATCCCGATATGCAGCACTGGAGGTATGTGATGATTGCTAATTGATAGTCTCTTCCCTACGCGTCCCTGTGACACAGGCTCCCACGCCTATTCACACCACCCACGGGCTCAGCTGGCAGTATGACTGCCGTCAGCTAACACAGCGGGCAGTGTGACTGCTTTCAGATGATCTGGCGGGCAGTATGACTGCTATCAGCCGGTCCAGCAGGCAGTGTGACAGCTGTCAGCTAACATAGCGGGCAGTATGACTGCCATCAGCCGGTCCAGCAGGCAGTGTGACTGCTGTCAGCTGGTTTGGCAGGCAGTGTGACAACTGTCAGCCGGAATGATGAGCAATCGACACGGGCAGTGGGTGCTGGAAGTCGCGGCTGCCGACGGTCGGTAGTCCTCCGATGTCGGTAGACGTTCAGTAGACCTCCGAGGTCGGTAGAGCTCGGTAGACCCCCGATGCCGACCGCTGCGCTCGTCCAGGCTCGCTGTGGGAATGACGCAGGCGCTGGTAAGCACACACTGGCTCCCCATACAGATGAGCGTTCATCAGCGCCGACTCTGGGCCGAGCCGGATCTGAACTCGGAATCACGGGTGTCAGCGCAGCATTCGGAATCGATCCAGGCTCAAACATCAGCTCCGCAGTTTTATAGATATTGGACAGGATCTTTGACGAAATTTGGCTTAGCATCGGCCAGACCTACGAGCATATATCTACATGATAGTTGATCCACAATTCCACAGGTCTCTTACGGATATTCCGCCGAAACGTGTTCGCATAACAATTCATGCTATTGTAATGCCCAGAAAAAAAATGAATTTTGCCTCAGCGCGTCCTTTTCTCCGCTCGTTCTGTGGGCATATCGAGCGAGCCAAGTTCTCCGCACCGTCCAGCCGCTCGGCCGCGGCGTGACATGTTGACCTTTCGGGTGGCCGGAGCGGAGGGCGCCGGCACAGCGCTGGAGCGACTGACTGACGGCCCGCCGGGTGTCGTAGCGCGCAGAGCCGCGACTTCGGGCCCAAACTGGCAGCCGAATCACTGCCGTACACCGGCAGACGCCCTACTGCTGATACCTACCGCCCAGTGTTTGTCGCCAACGCCGTTACGTTACTGGCCTATGACTTTTGACCCACGAGATGGCGACAGGGAAAAGGCGCAAACCGGCAATCGTTATAGCTTATACCTAATGTAATTTTGCGAACGAATAAATAAATAAGATAGTGATACGATGAGCTCTGACATCCGCTTTTAGAAGCATTCGATGAACGGTTTGTTTCCACTGGAAATTTGTCAAAATATTTATATTCGTCAAATATTAATATTTTATATTAATATTCATTATCAAACAAATATAAATATTCGTCTAATAGTGAAGCGAAGGGCGTTTGATTTTGTGGCGTCTTATGGCAGCTTCTGTCGGAGATCAGCACCTGTAAACTCACCCCGCTACATCAGCCCATTCCGCTCCCTGGTCCAGGCTCACCTGCAGTTCCAGCGGCGCTCAGTCGCAGGTGCCGACGAACCGACACCAGAGGCCGGTGACGCTGGCCAGAAGTCCTCCTCCCGCGGCCGACTCGTCCGCCCGACGCTGCGCTGACGGCGGCGGCAGGGTGGGCATGGTGGGCCGCACCCGCCACCGAGCCGACTCACCGCCCTCCGGCCACCGCACCCCGGTGGCACCGCCGGTCTCCGACGCCTGCCGCTGCTGCCGGGGCACCTGCCGCGCCGGGTCGCGCCGCGCCGGGTCAGCCCGCCGCCGCGGGTCCGGCCGCTCCGGCGACTCGTCAGGCCACCGAATGCGGCCGCCGCCGCCCCGCTGGCCCTGTGGCGCGCTCCCTGACCAGGCGGCGCGTTCGCCGAGCAGCCGGCGGGACTCGCGGCCCCAGGCGGGCCCCGTGGAGCGGCTGCGGAGCCGGGAGCCGGCCCAGTCGCCGTCCAGGGTCCGGCCAGGATCGCCGCCGAACAGCCAGCTCGCCTCAGTGGTACTGGCCACCGGCAGCGCGTCTGGGAAGAACCAGCGGCCCGAGGGCGCCGCCTCGGTGGGCCGCGGCGGTACGGCGCCGAACAGCCACGGCAGCAGCGGCCGCTCCGTGCTGGCCGGCCGGTCGCTGCTGAAGAACCAGCCGCCCCCGCCGGTGGGCAGCTCCTCCTTGGGCCGGCCCAGCGCGTTACCGGGGCTGCTGAACGGATTGCTGAGGCCGTTGTTATTGCCGAAGGGGCTGCTCGGAGGCCTGTTATTGTTGCCGAATCCGCCGTGAATAGCATTGTTGTGAGGCGGCCAATCGGCCGGGTTTGGCCTCGGCGGAAACCGGGTCGGAGACGCCGACAGCTCCTGGTGCTGCCACCTGTCTCTCTCAGCTTCCCCCTGTGACCGGTAGGTGTCGGCGGGGCGCGGCGGGCCGGCCACCGGTCGCGGTCGTTCGGTGGTCGCCGGTACCGGTCGGGGGTCGGACACAAAGCTGTCCCGGTCGCCTCGGAACGGCTCAGGTCGGCGGGTGGTGGGGTCGGGCCGTGGTGCAGGCCGGCGGGTGGTGGGATCAGGTCGCGGCGCCGGCCGGTAGAAGGGCGTGGTGGTGGTGGGCGGGACTGGCTCGGCGGCTCGAGCCGGCAGCGGCGGGTCGGCCACCTTGGGCTTGCACTCGTTGAGCTGACAGAAGTAGTCGCGCTGGCCGTCGTTGTGACACCAGGTGCCGTCCGGGAAGTAGGCGCTGATCCCCTGGTCATTGAGGTCCTGGCGAGGGGTGTACCACGTGCCAGAGTCCAGACGACAGTAGATGGAGCACGCGCTCCACGGCTTCCCTGCAGAAAACACGCACAGTCGTCAGCGATTGGAGGGACTGTGGCTTTGTTAGTCATAGAGGGTGAAAAAAAAAACGATCAAACGGTGAAGCTACTTTTGCTCACTGTCAGTAGGTACTTCGGGTACTGACAGTGAGTCACCGAAACTGACCATGAGTCCACCGCCACCCCACCCTCCCGTCGCTCTGGAACTAAATATCAGAGTGTCACTCTGCCCTGAACCCACTGTCAGAGTGCGGCACCTGAGTGCCCTCCCATCTGTCTATAACTCACTGTCACAGTGCGGCACCTGAGTGCCCTTCCTGTCTGTAACTCACTGTCAGACTGCGGAACCTGAGTGCCCTGCCCTCCCTCCCGGAACTCACTGTCAGAGTGCGGCACCTGAGTGGAGTGCCCTCCCTGTCTGTAACTCACTATCAGAGTGCGGCACCTGAGTGCCCTCGCCGTCGGGTCGGATATCCTTGACAATCTGGCTGAGTTCGCGGCACTTTTGCGAGGCGTACTGTGTGACAGAGAGCCGGTAGGGGCAGATGTCGCCGTCCTCACAGAACTGGGTGTTGGTGCTGGAGCCCGAGCAGCGGCGCTCCGTGTTCAGCGGCTTCGGGTTGTCGCAGCGCCGCCGCGAGATCGCCACGCCTGTCGAACACAAACGGGGTTAAACACTGATTTAGCACTGTATTTATAACACTGATTTAGTGGGCACTGGGTACCTACCAATACCTGTCATGTCATTGAACCTGAACACCGTTGGTAACACTGGCTTTTTGCGCCCTTGTGGAAATGACATGGGTCACAACTCACAAGCTCGTAAGTGGCGTTGCACTTTGCAGTCTACAAAAGGTTACTTGGCCACCCCGTCCGTCGTTTCCATCCTCAGGATGCTGAAATTCTTCTCCTCCACGCCGCAGCCCTCACTCCGGGCTGGACAGGCACCTTTATCTCATGCGCGCTGCTCCCATGGAGCGGCACCGCTGCTTCCGAGGGAGCGCACCCCGTAGCCGGGTGCAGGGAGTGCATGGGGGGCTAGCCAGCCTGTCCATTCGGTTCGGACGGGCTCAGCCCCGGTGACTCTCTATGGTGTCTGCCCAGACCAATGTCTCCTCCTAATTCCTATCATCCTTCCGGCTCTGAAATGGTCTTGTCAGACCGAAAGGGCCTAACCCAACAAAACAAACAAACAAACAAACAAACAAACAAACAAACAAACAAACAAACAAACAAACAAACAAACAAACAAACAAACAAACAAACAAACAAACAAACAAACAAACAAAGTTACTTGGACTATTATCGAATGATTCTGAAGAGTTCCATTTTCCGCCTTTGGGGCCTGCTAATTCTCACACTTCATCACCCACTCCAGTAAGTGTGAGCGGTGAGGACAGCTACCAATAAGAACAATATACGAGGTGACCGTTTGGTTCGGGGGCTCTATCCCACGGAACGAACTTTCACATCATTTGATTTATAAACAAATGGAAGCTGACAGCGCCCGTATGCAGTGCACACTCAACGTGACTGACATATTACAAATGTCATTGAATAAATGCGCCATGGGAGCGTTCTGAGGAAAGGCATATGCCATATTGTTAACATTTAGGTGCACAGTTTGAAAATATGGTTTTGCTCATAAATGCATGTTTCCATATTTATCTAAGAAATAAACATAACTTACCGTATCAATTAACCAGCTACTAAACTGTACGTACACTGTGCACTTGCACTGGGTAGTAGACACAGCCCCGTTTTCGCCCGGTCATGGGACCGGTGGCAGCGTACCGGGCGTTCCACCTGGGAAAACGTGTCTGCTACCGCCGGCAAGGTAACCGGTGTCACGACCTGAGAGAGTCGTGCGCCGACTTAGCCCCGCTGCACAGCGGCACATACTCCTAACTGGTCGTGGAGAACGCGAATGAAAAACACTGAGCTCATATTAACGGGAGGGAACTTTGGCATTTTAGGAACACTTGTGAGGAGCTTGTGGATTGTTCGAGCCACTGACGCTTCTGGGAGCAAATGCTAACCCACGTTTTTAACGTTTAACTCCGATAAAATGTATATCAGATAAGGTTATGGAATGCCATCATATATGGGGCATTGGAGAAACGCACAGGTTCTCGGCGCGTTAGTTACCCTGTTCGCCAACAGATGGCACTAACCGGTGGCCTTTTCGATGCAGCCGGAGGTGCAGGATGAGACGTTCCAGCTGCTCCAGCCGCCCTGGATGATAGGTGGAGCTGGCGTCGACCATGCACGGCAGCTGCCGCTGATACACCACTGCCGGAGGCAACAGTGGTCAGGTAGGAGCGGGTCATCGAGATAGATCAACGCAGCGATATAACTGATGGACGGACTTAAATCAACTTAGATGGGGTGTCAAAGTTAATGTTGAGCTCAATAAAACGGATCAGTATAAGTGAATGTTGATAAATGGATGAACACAAATATTACGCTTACTTTCCCTGAAAAAGCGCGATTGCATTGTGAACTTGCATTTGCACTATGTTTCAAAATGTCTATAGGCTACTGTCCCTAGTCCTCTTACCTATGCAATGCAAAACGTGTAGGTATCCGTACATAGTCTGCTTCAATGTCATGCATTTACATCAATAACATCAATCTGCTAGTCCAGTACCTCGCTAACTCATTCCCGCAGTATAGGCATCGCGCATGCCGCCTGGACCGGCCGATGCCGTCGTGGCTCAAAGGACATGTCATCGTTCCGGGAATCATGTCATCACCGTTCGACCACAGCACCTGTAGTGCATTCTTCTTCAAAACAGCTGAAGGGGCCAGGAAGGTCGCGGAGAACTGGCTTATGGGGTAAACATAACTACACCGCAATTAAGGAGCCCGCAAATCCATCATAAAGTCCCTGAGGAATTTCGGTAGGAATTATTCTCTCAGTGTATGAGCTAATATTTTAGCCCACAATGTTTTCGATAGATATAAGTAAGTACGCTGCATAAAAACTCATGCAATGACGATAGCGCTTAGAAAGGTGCATACACAAAAGACAATGCGACGAAAAATAGCAATGAGCTTTCAGATTTTTCGATCATCTAAGGGCTTGCCTTTATTTCACTATTTGTCAAGGCGACATAGCTATTGGCTATAAATTGTGATCGAATATGACCGACAGGGTTGCGTAAAAATTTGTAGCTGTCTCCGTTCAAACGACTTACAAACAAATAAATAAATACATTAGCGCAAAAGATCGACATGTTTTAAATATTATTTTTCATTTCAATTAATTTTGTCCTTGTTCCTCCGCCTCCTCCTCCTCCTCCTCCTCCTCCTCCTCCTCCTCCTCCTCCTCCTCTCTCTCTCTCTCTCTCTCTCTCTCTCTCTCTCTCTCTCTCTCTCTCTCTCTCTCTCTCTCTCTCCCTCTCTCTCTCTTCCTCACACGTTTGTCACTTATTTCAGCAACAGCGTCCTCCTCACCCCTTTTCCATTTCCCCTCATAGCTTACCCTCTCCCCTCATCCTCTTACCCTCTCGCGGCCGCAGAAGGTGCCCTCCAGTGCCGGCCCCGCGTAGTAGTAGCCGATCCGGTTCGGAGACTTGCACTTGACCCGTTCACACACGTCCTGCGGGGAGGGGGGGGTGTAAAAATGTTAGGGCGGCCGTAACGGCAAGCAGCGGAGCCTACAAGAGGCAGGAAATGACTCGAAGCCCTAAACTGTCAATTGACTAGCATATAATTGTGCCACTCCATTTACCTTATGTTTTATCACGTTTTTATTTTTTATCATTACGCTATGCTAGTTCATCATA